ACCTAATCATATATTATTCAAGAAATATTACGTGATTATTCACGTCAAATTACGTAAATAATTACGTAATATTACGTAATTTTACACGTGAAATCGCTGTGACATATTGTAGTCAATTTTACGACGATAAGACGTGTCTTAGTTGGTGACTTCGACGTCATCGTAGACGTAAATTAATCGTGATATTGAAACGCTTGACGAATACAACTCTATACCGTGGCGAGGGTTTAGAAAACTGTATTCAAACGTGGCGTCATCCAATACACATATTTATCCGTTTGCTGTGTATGCATGCGTACATCCTAAAATTATCCTGACATTTCACAATTAAGATGTTTTAGCGTCAAATATGTGTTATTTAGGCCCTAATTCGATAGATTTTAAAGCCATTCATTTTTTTATCGTCGTAAAATAATTCAGGTTTAAAGGGGTTAAATTTGAGGTAACTTTTGCACAGAATGTGCAATATTTTGTTTGTTTTTTTTAATAAAATTTTATCAATATTTTTGTTTTTTGTGCTGTACCAAAATCGATACATACGTCATAAATAGGTTGGTAAAATGACGTCGTGAATTAACGTAATTATACGTTACAATTACGTCGATAAAACATATATTCTACGTCATTTTACGTCACTTTGGTGACGTCTTTGGGCTGTGACATTTTCACGTCTAATTTTGATCGATTCCACGTCATCCATGGTTGCAACAGGTCAAAACGACATAATGGGTGACCACTATTTATTTTGTTTGATAAATACTGTTTTTATAAAATTACTTAGCATCTGCCACCATGTGTATACTTGCGGCAAGTAACTTGCCCCACTGTCAATTGACATACATGACATGTTAACATACCAATCTGTCTTCTTGTAATCTCCGGTAAGAAAAACTACACTAAGAGCACTGTTCTCCGTCTTGTTGGTATTTTTGTTTTTCTTAAATTTTGGACATTGTGACTTATAGTGCCCTAACTTTTTACAATTAAAACACTGTATGTCTTTAAATCTCTAATATGAACCTACAAACTGGAGTTCATGGTCAAAATTAATTTTGCCTTGGCTTTGTCATCTTTGAGCTTTGCTGCATCTGCTTGGGCTTGGATTGCATTTGTGTCTTCTGATGTAGAATTTGTGCCTATATGCAATGCTGTAAACCCTCTTGAACTAAGTAATTCTACGCCGCAAATGCCCACATCAGTTTTCTCTGCCCTTTAATCTGGTAATTCGCCATTTTGTATGTTTTTCTTTTGTAAAATTTGTCTTCGTGCTCTTTGCAAAGTTATTGCAGTGAACTCCATTGGCTCGACAGTTTTATAGCTCTATTTTGGTTTATTTACCATAAGTTCTGTTCCTAAAGTTGCGTTTTATGGAGTTTAGTCGTAGTTTTTGTTTACGTTATTCGTTGTTTATTTCACTTTGTAATTCTATTTGTTTGGCACAAGTCGACAGGTATTTTCTGGCCTCTTCTGCCTTGTTTAGTATTCATAATACTTAATAGTAAAGTACAGGTGGGATGTAAACTTCAATTCTTTTAACTTCTTGTTGTTTTCTGCACATTGTTTACTAATTTGTAGATTTTGGCTGTCCATTCCGTAATATACTGGGTTGTTTTTATATGGACGTGTCCTTTTTTAAATTCGACAATAGCCTGGATATGGCTTGCCCGATTTGTGGGTTAGTGCAGTCTTGGTACTATTAGTTGGTGGGTAAGTGTATGGAAGAAGGGTATGTGTTTTGGCACTATTAGTTTGTGGGTAAGTGCAGAGAAAAAAGCCCTGGTATTGCTTACCGCTCAGTGAATTCAAGGGTTTGTTAACCTGTTTGGCCTGTTGTATAATCAGTAAGTGAGTGCAGGAAAAAAAACCTGGTCTTGCTTACCGCTCACTGATTTTTTTGAAAGACCATGTAAACTCTTGTAGAGTTTAGGGGATGTTGAGGGTAGTTAGGTCGATGTAAATGATAGGTAGGTTGTGGTTAAAAGAAAAAGTTTTATTAAATTAATTTCTATTTATACACAATTCTATTATAACGAAGAAATTAAGTAACATAAACAATGCATATACGAGCCCTGTCTCAGTGAAGTTGGCCCAACTAACAAAAATAGTTTTTTGAAGATATTTAGAATATTATACGGTAATTAATTAAAATTAACACATTGTTTTAATTAAATAAATATCGTTTATTAAATTTTCTACCGTTAAATTGTATTTTTAAGTACCTAATAAAAAAATATTTAAAATTCTCTTATATTGTCCGTAAACTAAAAATTAAGAAAAAAAAATATTTTAAATAAATACATTTTAATTGGCAACTACCACTGCGTAACATCTCCTTTATGGCATATTACTGCCTGTATACGTCTCGGCATGGTGTCAACCAACTTTTGAAAATCATCCGGCGTAAAATTATTCCAAATTTCTTGCAGGCGAGCTCGCAACTCTAAGACGGTTCTTGCGGGCTGTTCTCTGAGCTTCTTTTTCATAATATGCCACAAAGTTTCTATAGGCGAAAGATCTGGACTACTAGATGTCCATTTTAAAAGTGAAATATTATTTTCTATTATCCAAGCTTTCACTTTTTTAGCCGTATGACATGCTGCACCATTTTGTTGGAAGATGCATTCAATATCATTTAAACGCATTTCTTCAATTTGCGGTTTTAAGTTATTTTTTAGGACGTAAATATATTTATCAGCATTCATAATGCCCTCTACAAAGTGTAATTTACCGATCCCTTTAGCTGACATAGATCCCCAAATCATCACAGAGGCCGGAAACTTTACTTTTTTCTTAAGACAGTCATTGTGAAAGACTTCTGCTTTAGTTCTAATGACTCGGCTTCGATTATCACCAACGCAAACTTCAAATCTAGCTTCGTCACTCCATATAATTGAATCCCATTGATTTTGACACGAAGTCCTGTGCTCTTTTGCCCAGAGAAGTTTATTTTTCTTCTGTTTTTTTGTCAATAAAGGTTTTTCCTTTGCCTACAGATAGTAAAATTAAAAATAAATAAAAATCGTATACATTATAAGCAAACCTTGTAAGTTTTAAACCCAAGTTTTTGAGCAGCTCTATGACAGGTTGCTCTTGAAAAACATTTACTCGTTGCCTGATTCCACAAAACTTTTAATTCACCGTAATTAGCCCTTAAATTTTTATCAGAATATTGAGGACGACTTCCATTTTTTGGTTTCTGCGCCACAGATCCTGTAGTTTTGTGCAGTTTAATAATATTTCGCACGGTATATCGTGACAAATTAACAGTTTCAGCGATTTGTGCAGCGGATTTTCTTTTTAAATGCAAGTGAATTATCACTTTTCTTATTTTTTCAGAAACAGCTTTTCCTCGGGACATTATTATTTGTCAACCACATTATTATTTGTCAACCACACCGAAAGCATAAATAATATATTATATACTGGAATGTCACTACCGACTTGCTTACAATTATTTAAATGTCAAATATTATCTTTACTTTTAGCACAGCCGACTTGCATTAAAAAATCTGGCCATCCAAGTTAATGCATTTTTGTCGATTTTTTTGTATTGTAACCAAACATCCAACTTAAAACTAAATAATATACATACACATATTTTTAAAAATTTTTTACAACCTGAAGATTGACCAAGAATTGCATATGATAAAAAATTGTTGGCTTTTCATCGCATAAAATTACAAATTTTATATTTTGAGTGGTTGGGCCAACTTCACTGAGACAGGGCTCGTATATACAGGGTGTTTCTTTTAACTTGAGACAGCTCAATATCTCAAAAAATACGCATTTCACGGAAAAATTTCTTAAATAAAAGGTTAATGTGACCAAAGGGGACATTATTTGGTGCTACCGCTAGCCACCTCCTTAAGGGTGAAACGGGGGGTAACTTTGGAAAGTCAAATGGAATGACCCGATTTTTTTCACAGAGTTTGGTAGTACATAAAAAAATAAATAACTTTTATTTAAATCTTTTTTCAATTTATCAACAGATGGCGCTGTAATTCAAAAGGGGTAGGGGGTGGCTAGCGGTAGCACCAAATAATGTCCCCTTTAGTCACATTAACCTTTTATTTAAGACATTTTTCCGTGAAATGCGTATTTATCGAGATATTGAGCTGTCTCAAGTTAAAAGAAACACCCTGTATATAAACAGTTTTAAAGGCGATGACCGATTAATTGTGTGCTGGTTTTGTAGGCTTAGCACCCTCGGTCGGTCACCGAGTCGAATAATTCCAAATTTAAGTAAAAAAAAATATAAAATATATCACTTTTGCTAAACTGAAATAATAGCGACCGAAGATTTCTATGGTTCCTTCGTTACTTTGTTAATTTTAGTTTCAACGTTTTAATTTTATTTCGAAATCGCTCATTTCGGTTGATTTCTTGTTGGCGCAATCGTGCAGCTTGGAGCCTTGTTGAGATTTAGAGTGATTACAAAGTTGCTCAGATATATTTTCAAGACCCCATTTTTAGCTAAATTATTTTTTTTATATAAAATATATTTTTTTGAAGTTCAAAAAATATATAAAAATACCATCTTACTACAACCTTATTAATATTTTGCTATATGCTACAATAACATATATATGTTTAGTTGTTTTACTAGTGAAATTTATTTTGCTATAATAACGTTAAATATTAACATAATAATTCTTGTTATAATATTTGTTGAAAAATTAGATTTTAACAAAAACTTTAATTAATTAATCTTATTAATAATTGTTTTAAAGATAAATTTTTCAAAAAACATTGTTTTTAATATACTTATATACCTACCATAATTGTATTCTTATCGCAAAGCTATTTAATCTAAGACAATAAATAAATATTAAAAAAATATTTGCCAATTTTCTTTAGAACCGCGTATTTTTTAATCCAGTCAGATTAAGGTAGAAATAAAATGTAACAAAGTAATTTAGAAAAATTGATAAGATATAACAAATCTTCTTAGAATTATATTTTTTATATAAACGGACACATCACATCAGATCTTCTTAGTGTTCAAAATAGTTTCTGTAGTAGAATATGATAACATTTCTATTGACAATCAGAAATATGAAGTGTTTAATAATCTTTGCCATTTTGGGCTCAGTTTTAAGTGCACGTAAGGGATTATTATCTTTGACCTGCAAGTTTTTTTAAACGCATTAGTTAAATTTTAGCAACGTGCGAAAACGATCAATATATTCCTGACCAAGACTGCTCTATATTTTGGCAATGCTCTAATGGAGTTCCAGTTTTGCAAAACTGTCCAGATGGTCTTCACTTTAATCCAGTTTTAAACGTATGCGATTGGCCAGATTTTGCAGGATGCAGTGATGGTCCTTTACCTAAAAAAACAATTATTTCCTCAACAGAAAAATCATCTACATCAAGTGGTGCTTTAACTGATATAACTCGTATGTATTTAATTTACCATATTTAAAAAAATTGACGCATTACATTAGTACAATACTCAAATTTATACAGGATGTTTCATTATTGAATGTTAATACTACTGAAGGGGCTTAATCCTAGGGTAATTTTAAGAAAAAGGTTATATTAACTTAAGTCCGCAACCGCTTTATTTAATGGCCTACGCTAAATATATTTAGCACTGTTGTAGTTTTGGGGCCAGAAAAAAATATACAAAAATGTGAAAATGCCATTCCGACAGAAAATGGCCTCCTGAATCCAATGGTGCCCACCAAAAGTCTCCATCACGTCGAGATTTCGAGAATTTTTTTGTTTTGTTTTGGGGCCAAATTTCGGATTTTGAGTAATTTTAAGCTCATTTTTACAGCTTAAGTCGCATTTTTGGTATAGGCACTTACTGTGAAAGCAATATATATAGTATATACTATTTATATACAGGGTGTTTCACATTCGTGGCCCATTAGAAGTTACTGGGGAACAAAAAACATGCGTTTATAATCCATTTAAGTCTATTTTTCTAAAATATTTTAAACTAAATGCCACTTCCGGTTTAACCGGATATATATTTTATATACTATTTATAACAATTGGAACAATTTTCTGCGTGTGAACATGGTGACAAAAAAGGAAGACTTAACTTAAATAGACTTTATTTATAAACAAAAATGAAAAACAAAAAAATTCTAATCACATCACAGGATTACATAAACCAAAGAAAGAAGTTGGAATATCAATCTTCCTCCATTTCCAATTGCAAATTCCAGCAAAGGTCAGCCAAAAGTGAATTTAATTTTTTCCCACTGTACCAGTGCTCCAGCTGGGCGGAAACCTGGTGGAATCTTTCACCATGCTCCTCCGATTCAGTTGGCAATTGCTGATCGAATTGATTTTGGTGACTATGTAGAAAATGCACCTTCAAAGACATGCGCACACCGATATTTTCAAATGACAGCAACATATCTTCCACAAAGTCACGCCAGTTGTCTGCCCGATGAATGCCAAGTACATTTTCTATTACGCCTTTTATACTATTCCAAGCAATGAGTTCTTCCTCTTCAAGAACATCGCTAAAACGATCGTCCTTCATCAATTTTCGGATGTCCGGTCCGTTAAATATGCCTAAAAACGATAAATTTAGTCATTCAATTCTTGAAAATATTATATAAATATTGTATATTAGTTGGTATTTGAATAATAGTTAAAATACTATCATATACCTTCTTTTATCTTCATTTTACTCAAACGAGGGAAAATGTACTGCAAACGTTCATATGCTGGCTCGTTCTTCCGTGCTACCAAGGATTTTATGAAGTTCTTTACAATGCCAAGCTTAATGTGGAGTGGAGGTAGGAGAACTCTTTCCATCGGGACCAGTTCCCTGTGGATAACATTGGCTTGTCCGATTGTGTGCTTTGTTCGCGGTAACCAGTCTCGTTTTTGATACTGCGCTTCATGTCTCGAATCCCATAGGCATAAATAGCACATATTCTTTGTGTAGCCCAATTGGAGACCACAAAGGAGGGCTACAACCTTTAAATCAGCACAAATCTTCCAAAAATGTTCCTTGTACTTCACAGAATCCAGAATTTGCTTCATAGAATCATATGTTTCCTTGGTATTTATAGAAAGCGCGATTGGAACGGGATTTTTTGAGTTGTCGACAAACAGGAGCACGGCTTTGAGGCTGCTTTTCGAACCGTCGATAAACAAGCGCCATTCCTCCGGTTTATATGTGTAATTCATGGCCGCCATCAAACCACTAATGTCATGACAATACGCGAACGAATTGTTTTGGTTAGCAGTAAAAAATTGTAAAAACTGTCGCTGGCGGCCACGAGCTCCAAAAACTTTTACACCTGGTGCCAAGATGTTAACGGCTTTTAGTTGTTGAGCTAGGAGGATGGATCTTGCTTGTGACAATTTAAGTTGTCGTGCCATTTTGTCCAAGCGCTGCTGCGATATTTCAATATGATTGCATGGTTGCGTGATATTGGACGGTTGGTACAGAGACGTACTCGGTTCCGGCTCTGAATCGAACGATGGTGATATGTACTCTTCTGGAGGGCTTAGAGGTTTGGGAATCGGAACTGCGTCTGAATGTGGAAGTGGTATTTGGGCCGATTTAACATCTTTATACTTATAACCAGCTGCATTCCTTCTGTTTAAACCAAACACATTATTTACACATGGGTAGCATCTATTAATTTCGTGGTTAATTGGCTCTGACCAAATCATTGGTATTCCATATGGCATTTTCTCTTGACGTCCATTCTTCCAGTCGAACAATCTTAATATGCATGTCCGACACAATCAACATTCTTGATTACTTTAATATTGAAATATTGTTCATATATTTCTGCGATTTCAGGCGTAATTTTTCTCTTATTTGGCATGATGGTATATTTTCCACACATGTAGCAAAACTGATTGAAATTTTTTCGGCAATCACTCATTTTGGTTTTCCACTGAATAAAATCACATACGTTCAATACATTCACAAATATCTATTTAAAAATAAAACAAAATACATTCTTAAGTTAAAAAACTACGTAACAAAAAATGCCAAATAAAAGTAATATTAGGAGTGCAACGATTAAATTAGATATATCTAGTATACAGTGTGTTTCGTTATGATTATAAACAGCAATTTTATTACAAGAAAGCAAAAATATCCACAAATCGCCATGTTCATAAGCAGAAAATGATGCCATTTACCCCAAACCAAAAATAATTGATTTTCTCGAAATCTCGACGTGATAGAGACTTTTGGTGAGCACCATTGGATTCAGAAAGCTTTTTTTAGTCGGAATAAAATTATCCCATTTTTGTATATTTTTTCGACTAGAACAGTGATATTTTCCTAGTTGTGATTTCATTATGAACCTTTATGCTAAGTAGGGTAATTTTTAAATAAATTTTAACCGAAAACGGTGCACGATATGAAAGTTCCTTTAGGTATTGTGTGTAAAACTCCGAAATTTCATATTCTGATATCAAACCCTAGACACGTACAAAAAAGTTGGGGTGGTTTTAACCCCACTTCCTATCTATCTGACCCACCCGTCATGTAAATTTTAAAATTATAATTATATATTATATACTATAATCATTGACCTTAAAAAGTTTGATACATTTATAAAATTTCACGTTTCTATCGTAAACGGTTTTGGAGATAATAAATAAAAACCATCTTCAGGGGCTACCCTTTCGGGGGCCGTAGCCCCCTTGAGAAGCATTTCTTGACCTTTGTTTATAAGGTTTTATTTTCTTTTTTTGTAGAATCTGCTCTTAAAGTACTTTACGCTAATTACACTGGGCCACAAATTACAACTTTTGTTTTGTTTTCTGAACAAAAACTACTTTATTGGATCTAACTACACTCAAGTACCTAAAAAATACTTATTTAAGATTCTAGTTGGATTGCAAAAAAAATCTGAATTATTTGTTACAAAATTTTTATTTATAATCATTAGGGATGGGATTTTAGTTATTTTACCTTTTTTCAACCGATGTAACTATTTGAAAACCAATAATGCCAAAATGTGTTTTAAAAGATTTTCTTTTATATGAACCTAACTTGTTTTCACCTTTTTTACCTTTTTTGGAGGTTTTTGCCTTAAACTACCTTTTTTATACTTTTGTTACCTATTTTTTTAAATTGTTTTCACCTTTTTTACCTTTTTTGGAGGTTTTTGCTTTAAACTACCTTTTTATACTTTTGTTACCTATTTTTTAATTTGTTAGTTTATTTTCACCTGTTTGATACCTATTTTTACGTATTTTTACTTATTTTATTTTTTGGTGTTCTTTTTAAATTTTGCGCCAATATTTTATCCAGTTCCTTATAGCTTTAATTAACTATTGGTCAGTTTATAAAAAAAATATTTTACGTTACTTATTTTATAAAAATAAACGAAACTTTTAATGTTTTTTTTTACCTAAAATGCTGTTTTTTTTAACCTAAAATGCTGTTTTTTAGTACCTTTTTAGTTAACTATTTTTCAGTTTTTAGTACCTAAATATCCCATCCCTAATAATCATAAACAATGAACATACAAAAAACAGATAACAATATAGTTGGTTCAATAAAAGCAATGAAATAACACATTTTTATCATTGAATTTTGCGCTTCTTAGCCTGTCTTTTGAAAGCAGTCTCTGGAGCATCTCTCGTAATAGTCCAGCAGTAGTCCGCTAACATCTCACAGTTACATTTTCCCTGATATCTTTTTTCCATGTTAGAAATATCCTGGTGGAACCTCTCACCGTGCTCGTCACTTACATCACCACAATTTCCCGGAAAGTATTCCAGATGAGAATTCAGGATATGAATTTTTAACGACATATACATAAAAAGTTTGTTGCAACCATTTTAAAGGCATCCCAAGCGTCTTTTTTCTTACCTTCAAGTGTGGAATACTTTGGAAACTTTTCTTTTAAATAACTATAAGCACGACCTTCTTTGTCCCAATTTTGTATTATAAAATAAGTAAGATTTAGCTATAAAAATTAGCCTGGATCTATCAAACCGGAGCTACCCAAGACTTTTGCAAGGCCCATTGTTAATTAGTACAATAAAATAAGTAAGATTTTGCTATTTTGGTTTTAGAAACATTTTTGCTGTTGCCCAGTGTTATGGGACACCCTGTATATAAAAATGCCTAATAACTATAAAACGTTTTTCTATTAGTCATAAAAAGCCATGGAAATGACATGACATTTTTTCTTCTTCAAAAGATCCCAGACAGCAATATGACATCTTAATTAAGTCTGCATAAGCTCTATTTTATGATTTGGAGGTCAGATAAAACATCAGAAAGAAGTTTTTAAGAAGTTCTTAAGACTTCGAATGCGCCACCTATCGAACTAATCAAGACTTCTCAAAAAAAACTCTTGAGGAACCCTTTCTTTGACTTCGCAATTAAGCATTTTAAAGATTCCTACTGTATAAACTTATAAAAAGACTATTTTAGAATTTCCTATTA